CTCTGTGACCCCGGGGTTTAACATAAGTCTCGTTCCCCCGCAGTCACATGCAGAGACTCCTGCCACAGGATTTCTGTGAGGTGTAATTGAGCCCATGTCGTGACCCTCGAAACAGCTTGGTGCACATCAAGGGCTTAGCAGTGCCGACCCCCTTTGCACCTCCCTTTCTTTATGCTTAGCTTGGGGCAGCTGCCTTAAAAGCTGGCTGAGAACCATTCTGGCAGGAGTCCCTCTGGCCCATTTGATGACATTGGTCAGTTTTGCCTTTGTTGGGAGAGCAGTGCATTTACAGAATGACTGCCAGGTACCTTCCCAAACCACCCATCTGAGTGAGCTAATGAGGGCTGATTGGATTGGGGCTCCATGGGTTTGTTTTTTTTTTAATGTGTGCTTCGCCCTCTAGTGGCTGAATGTGGAATTTCCAAGGAACCTGTGCTCCGCCCCGTCTGTGCCACACGGGCCCCCCACCACCAAAGGTTTAGTGTAGTATGGTCTTGTGTAGGTGTTGTGGGTGTTTCTCCAGTTCTGAAACAATTCCCTCTTTTATCCCTGCAATTTAAAAGCAAGTTTCAGCATAATATAGCACTAATCTTTTTAAACAATGACAAAGACTAGAATATAATACTCCAGATCTCGCCTCCTAGTGCCTTGGGCACTTAAAAAGTGTGAGTCTTCAGACAAACACTACACTACACTTGACTCCTCTACCAAAACAGAATGGGAATACAGAACCTATTTACTCATCTGATAAGGTTTCTAAGACAGTAAATGGTTCTGTAATAGGAAAACTGGTGTGCCCTGAAACTAAAAGTCATTTACTTCAAATTCTGAGAACGGAAGATCTCAGGACTAAAGAATGCTTAGAAAAACAACTATCAGACTTCCTGAAAGATCACCTGGCTAAAACTGCCCCCCCCCCCATCCAACAGAGACAATAGCAACAAACATTAAATGCAAGGATATATGAATTTTACTTGGACATAGGGACTTAAAGAAAATTAAGCCCTGAAGGGAGAAATAGAGGATATAAATCAACTGATTTGGAAAAATGAAAGACTAAAGGTCACAATTTTTCCAAGTTAATATGAAGATAAAATGAAATGCCAAGAAAGTCTCTGAATAATGCTTAACTGCAGTTTGCAAATAAATAATGAAATTAACCTGAAAGAATAAGCAAAGGAGGATATCAAAGATGTTTTTTTTCCCCAAAATTCCAGATGGAGCAATTATGGCAGGATGTTAGCCCTTGCTAAATCTGGATGGTGGGTCCTTAGGTGTCAGAATCTTATCTGTATTTGAAAATTATCATCACTTAAAAAAAAATCATGATTGGTCATCTTTTCAAGAGCTATGCTTGGACTAGATATTTCATTTTGGAAACAACAAGAAATAGTTATTTTTAAAAATAGATCCTGGGGCCGGCCCTGTAGCCTAGTGCTTAAGTTCGGCACACTCTGCTTCAGCGGCCTGGACCCAGTTTCTAAGTGCGGACCTACACCACTCATCAGTGGCCATGCTGTGGTGGCAACCCATGTACAAGATAAAGACTGGCACAAATGTTAGCTCAGGCAAATCTTCCTCAAGCAAAAAGAGGAAGATTGGCAACAGGTGTTAGCTCAGGGCCACTCTTCCTCACCAAAAATAAATACATAAAAAGATCCTTTTTTTGAGGAACTTAACCACTATGCCACCAGGCCAGCCCCTAAAGATCTATTTTTAAATAGCTTTTTTTTTTTTTTTTTTGCTGAGGAAGATTCGCCCTGAGCTAACATCCCGGGCTGCCAAAGCAGAGCGCACAGAACTTAACCACTAAGGCCACTGGGGCTGGCCCTAAAATAGCTATTTTTAATAGCAGAACATTGAAAAATGTGTCTAAAATAAGGGAATGGATATGATTTGTATGTGTTGGGGAAAAGGGAGAATTCCTCCCCCACTTTTCCCTAAGGTTCTTATGGCTGGCCAAATAATTAAAAAGGCAGGTTAGCAGGAGAAAAATCCAAGTTTAATAACACATATACATGGGAAAAACTCAGGAAAAACACTAACTCAGCCATCTGCCCAAACCTGCCAGATTAAATATCTTCAGCTAAAGACAAGGAGGATGTTGGGATTTCAGAGGGGAGGGAGACAATTTACATGGAGATGTAAATGCAAATGTTTGTTAAGTTTTGCTGGGCCAAAAATGGGTTTGCTGGTGTCTTTCTATCACACCTATTTTACATTATACTACAGCTATCATATGGTATTAGCTCCTTCCTGGAACAGGCCTTCTATATTAAATTATTTTAGGCTGTTTGGGAGAAAGTGAAATATTCTCCCTGAGTCTTCTGAGCCTTTATTGTCTTCAGCTCGAAATAATCCTCATACCAGAGTAGTGCATCTTGGGGTGGCCTGCCCTGAACCCCATCATATGAGCTACCCATATGATTGAATAATGTTTTAAAACAGGTCTAGGGGCCGGCCCCGGTGCTTAGTGGTTAAGTTCCCGCACTCCGCTTCAGTGGCCTGGGGTTCTTGGGTTCAGATCCCTAGTGTGGACCTACACACCGCTCGTCAAGCGTACAAAATAGAGGAAGATTGGCACGGATGTTAGCTCAGGGCCAATCTTCCTCAAGCAAAAAGAGGAAGATTGGCAACAGATGTTAGCCCAGGGCCAATCTTCCTCACCAAAAAAATAAAACAGGTCTAATTCAACCAGTGGAATAATGTTACATGGAAGTGGCAGAATATACTTATAGTGATGAGAACTGTACAAAATACTTGTTTAAAAAAATGTGTATCCTACGTCTTTGAAATACAGTTTTGTGGGTTGTTGTTATTGTCTGTAACAAGTTCAAAATATCTTCTTTACTTTTACTACCAAAAGTTGCTGTAGAGGGGCCGGCCCCGTGGCTTAGCGGTTAAGTGCGTGTGCTCCGCTACTGGCGGCCTGGGTTTGGATCCCGGGCGCGCACCGACGCACTGCTTCTCCAGCCATGCTGAGGCGGCATCCCACATACAGCAACTAGAAGGACGTGCAACTATGACATACAACTATCCACTGGAGCTTTGGGGAGAAAAAGGAGGAGGACTGGCAATAGATGTTCGTTAGCTCAGAGCCGGTCTTCCTCAGCAAAAAGAGGAGGATTGGCATGGATGGTAGCTCAGGGCTGATCTTCCTCACAAAAAAAAAAGTTTATGTAGAAGCATTATCTTATTGCTAAGCCTTACAAATCCTGTTTTCAAAGGGCACCATTATATTTAAGAATATGTGTGATCACAGGCACGACCTTCTAACTTCTGAATCACCATCTTTCACCTTAATTCCTACTCTTCCTCCAGATCTCATTTTAATATCTCCTTCAGGAAAGTCTTCCCTGACCTCTCCAATTAAGTCACTTCGAGTCACACCAAGTGCCCAATAAATATTATGATGAATGGTTCTCTTTTCCATTAAAACCTCATAACTTCCATATTTACAATTCCTTGTATCATTTTCACCACCATCAATACAATTTCAATATTATTTTTAACCTTGAAATTCTGCCCTTTAGAAGACCCCTGAAGGAACTTCAGACTTGGAAAATCTTGACATATAATGGGTTTATTCATTCATCAAGTATTTAATAAGTGCCTATAATGTGCCTATTATGTGCATAGCAGTGAACAAGCCTGACAAGGTACCCACGCTCATGCAACTGACACTCTAAGGTGGGAGAAGAGAGGTAATAATCAGGATACAATGTTAGGGAGGGATTCGTGCTATGAAGAAAACTAACGCAGGGTAAGGGAATGGGAATAGATGGGTGGGCTATTTTAGATAAGGTGTCCAGGGAAGGCCTTTCTGAGGCAGTGACACTTGAGCTGAGGCCTGAATGAAGTGGGAGAGTGATATGAAAACACCTGCAGGCGGGGCATTCCTGGCAGAAGAAACAGAGAATTTAAAAGCCCTGAGGCGATGGTAGCTGTAATCTAGGAGTGATGGCAAGTCATCCTGGTCCAAGCCAAGGACAACAACCTAGTGATGGCATAACAACAAAATGTAAGGAGGCTAGGTCCTGTCACCATAAAGCTCCCAGACCAGCCTGTATTGCTTATGGTTATGAGAGAGAAATACACTCGTCTTGTTAAGAAAAAAAAAACAAAAAAAAAACCCTGAGGCGAGAATGAGCTTGATGTATTTCAGGAGGAAAAAAAAGGCAGCAAGCAGTAGGGAGACGGGAGGAGAAAGTAATTAACTCGAACCGCGGGAGACAGATCAACACGCATTTATAGACTTGCGTGACTACCATGGAAAAGTCCTCTGCGGGGCGGTTGGAGTCTATTTTATGCAAAAATTGCAGCCTTGCAAGATCCTAAGCGGACGGGCCTACGTCTGACGGTTCAACAAGGTCACCCCGGCTGCTGTAGGGGGAGTGTCTTGTAGGGCAGAGACAGGGCCAGGCACGAGAAGAAGGGGGCTCGGACCAGGGTGGAGGAGAGTGGAGGTGCTGAGAAGCGGTCAGAACCTACGGCACTCGGTGACCGCCTGCTCGGGAGGCGGAGGGCAGATCAGGCTATTCCCCACGTTCCCAGCCCCAACATGCCGGGTGGTTTCAGACCCTGAACTCGAGAAGGGTCCTAATGCAGCACTCCTGACCGCGGGAGGCACCCAGGGGGCAACTTCGTCACAGACTTGGAGTCCCACAGACCTGGGATGAGCCCCAGATCTGCCACCAACGGCCGTGGGTCTCTAGGCTGGATAATCCCACAGGGCCCGAATAGTCTTTATCTATAAAATGGGAATATTAGCAACATGGACTTCACACACGTGCAGACCTGCGAAAACACTGACCAGCGTCTTCCGTGTCAGCGTATCTGCACAACAGCAGAGGATCAAGCGGAGGTCTCACGGGGCTCAGCGCCCGTCCCCCGGACTCGGCCTCAGCGTGCGCATGCGCCGGGCTCCGCCCTCGCGTGCGCCTGCGCGGAGTCGCGGTCTGTTTGGTGGCGGAGGGCGTCGGGCCCGGAGGGTAGACAGGCTCTCGGCGGTGTGGCCTCAGGCTGGGCGGCGGGGCCTTCGCCATGCCCGGGATGGTGCTCTTCAGCCGGCGCTGGGCCATCGCCAGCGACGACTTGGTCTTCCCCGGGTTCTTCGAGCTGTTCCTGCGAGTGCTGTGGTAAGGGCACGGACTCGGCGGGCGGGTGGACTGGGTCGAGGAGGGAGCGAAGGGCGAGCGTCCGCGAGTGATGACAGTGTCGCCAGGTGCCTGCGCGCCGACGCGGTGCCCTGTGTTCTCCATCTAGGCCTCTCCACCGCCCGAGGAGGTCTGCTGTTACTCTCCCCGTTTTAGAGGTGGCAGACTGAGGCCCAGGGCGGGTCGGCCGTGCCCAGGTCACACCAGGGGCCCGCGGCCGGACGTCCGCGATGCGGCGCGGAGACCTGGCGCTGGGAGCCGCCGGGACTTCACTGCCCACCAAAGCCAGGGTCTCGGGAGGGGGAGGGGGGTGGG